TGTCAAGGAGGAAGAAGTCATGGCTGAGCCTGTCAAGGAGGAAGAAGGTGGTGGAAAGCGGACGTTGAAGAAAAAAAAAAGTGAAGAAGAAGAAGAAAATGAAGAAGTCCCTGTGGTGATGAGGGTTGATCAGTTTGCCTTGAAGCCAAAAAAGGAAAAGAGGGCAAGCAAATCAAAAGCAGCTGGGAGGGGTCGAGGACGTGGCCGTGGAGGTGGACGTGGTCGAGCCAAGAAGGATGAAGCTGATTCTGAACCTGAAGTGATTTATGATTCAGAGGACGAAGCTCAAAAGGCAGAGCCAATCAAGAAACTGAAGCCTGCTCGCAAGACACGTTCTGAGCCCAAGATTGAGCGCAAGAGAAAAGCTGAGCCCAAAGCAAAACCTTCAGCAAAATCAAGGGCAAGGAAGTCCAGTGTGGCTGCGACGAGTGCTCGGGATGCTGCTGGTGATGAACACAAAGAGGACCAGGGTGAAAGTGAAATTGTTTGGGGACCACTTTCTGTGGAGGGAGTTCAAGCTGTCACCAAGGCTTATGGATGGGACATGCTTGAGCCTTCTGTGCAGGAGGCTATGAAACCTGTGGATGCATCAGCTCCTTCTGAGAAGCATCCTGATGGTGGAGACTCTACTGGCGTCAAGATCAAGAGTTTTGCTCGCAGACCTTATCCTCGCAGCGGTGTTCCTCAGGCACGTTGGCTGGCAATCCGCGACACCTTTGATGAGTTCATCCGCCCTCTGCTGGTGAATGCGGGACATCCGGCATCAGGCTTTGAGGCCAGGATCACTCATAGACTTCCCAGCTAGGATTGGCCTTTGGTTCCAGCACCCTTGGTGAAGAAACATTGTCAAGCATTGGTTCACACACTTTGGAATTTCAGTCTACCTGTAGTGTAGTTTGTGTTCTTTTCCTTTCTGTCTCCAGTTTCTTCTAGTACAGGGCAATTAAAGTCTCATTCGACCAATTAAAGTGTAATTCATATTTATACTCTCCTGCAGGTCGAGTGGTGGGATGCCTGTATGGGAGTGGCTTTCAAGGTGGAGTCTGATGCAAAACTGGCTGGGGGTGAGGAGAAGTACAAGATCCTTGCCAGGGGCCACGTGAAGGCTTTCGTGCTGGAGACCATGTTGATTATGGATGATGAGATGGACTCAATGCCTGAGCCCTTTGAGCAGTAGTTGCAGGCATGAAATGTCAAGTCATAGACTGTGTGTATATATGCACTCAGTTTGATTTGGCATCTGTTTACTCCGAGTGTGTTCCTTTGCCGGGTTAGAGCGATGTTTTGTGCACAATATGCCAAAAAGGCATGTTGACATTGTGTCCTTCAATTCATCTCTTGATTGGTATGTGTGTACTTCACACATGAATTACATTGCCGTTTGTGGGCTAAGACAAGCTCATGCATGGCTACTTTCTGGGGATCAGCTTGCGAGGCAACAAGCAGCCGTGCTTGCAGTTTAGAGCCACCAAAATACTTGAACTAATGCTGACCCAGCCATTGTGTTCTTACAATGACTGTGAAGTGTGTTGTCTACAAGCCAGGTTTGGAGATGTATGGTCTGCGTCGTGGATGCATCAACCTTGCAAAGATTGGGCAAGGTCCAGTGGCAAGATCCAGTATGCCTGGCTGATTTTTATTGTAAGTGTGGGA